TAATGACAAGGACAACAGATCATAGATAGTCAACAGCTATAAAAGTAATAGGGTTTAGACAAAGACTGAAGTGTTAAAGCTATTATAGGTCATATAATTCTCTTTTTTCTTTTTTTAGGCAATATAAGTTTACTACGACAGAAAAAAACATCAGTTTTTGCTCTACTTTTTTTTTTTGACTTTACTAACTGTTCCAATAATAAAACTGTTAGTAAAGTGTTGTTAACAGATCAATTAGCATATTTTTCGTTGATTGATCATATTTATAGTAAAGATATCTGTCTGTTTTTTTTCCAATGTTGTTGTTTCAGCAAATGATACACTTCAGTGTATTATTTGTCAAAGCAATTAGACTTAATATCTGCATTTAGAAAGCAACACAGTAGAAATGCGCAACCTTTTTTGGAACTTCATTTTTTGGTGATTATTATCTGAGTGATCATTCGGCTATAGTAAATTATTTGAAATTTAGCGAAAGGATTTACCATAGATCAATGAGAAAAAGTTTAGTGGCAAAAGTAAATATAAAAGAACATTGTTGTACAGCCTTTTTGTCTAGCATTTTAGTTGATATTTTACGTGTAAATTTTTTTCTTTTTGTTTAAGAATTAATAAATATGATGAAAAAAAAAAGGCGAAAAAAAAAGATAAGAAAAAGAAACATATATATGACACTGTTATTTGGTCAGAATGAAAACTGAATTTGGATAACCATCAAAAAAGAAGTGTCTAATTTATATTTTACAAAAATTTTGCGGTTGTCATTATTTACACTTCATTTTTTTTTTCTGTTTAAAGGTTTTTATTTATGTCTGCAGTTAATCTATTTAATAAATCTGCAGATCTTTTTTTTTTCTTTTTTGGTAGCTATAAATCTGAGAAACTATCTTCGTAATAAATGATCGAATTTTTTTTCTCCTTGAACTATCTTTTTTTCTTGATTCTTTCAACAATTGTATTTATAACAGTTTGTTTTGTTGGTCAGTTTTTGCTTACTGACACTTCGCCTCTGTTTTATGTCTGCAATTTTTTTTTTTTTTTTTTGCTGCTTTTAGTCTCGAATTATTTTAGGCAGAAAAAAAAAAAGGAAGTCTATTATATGTGTTAATTTTTTGTTCAAATTTTTTTCTTATACTTTTTTATCGTACAATTATTTAATGGTTTTATGTTGAATTCGTTTTAGTGATGTAATATAAAAGACTTTACTTTCTGTTTGTTTTTCTTTCTTTTTTTTTTGTAGTTGAGGTGATAACGAATCTGTTGCATAGATAAAAATAACGTTTAATCTGTCTTACAGAATATTATCTGAAAACCATAGTTGTGTAGCATTTTATGACTTTTATAAATCTAGAAGTTTTATTCTGCATTTTTTAGCCAACTGTTAAGTGCCTTTAAACAATTTAAAAAAAAAAAAAATTAATATTTTAATTAGTTTTTTTTTGTTAATTATTTTAAAGTTAGTTATTTTTATTAATTTAGAAAAAAAAAA